TGAATTAGTAAATTTTACTATTAAATTAGTAGAAACGACTGTTTATTAGTAAAATCTGCTAATTAAAAAGCAAAAAGTCATAGTCACTAATTCAAATTAGAAAACATTTTTATTTTTGACTAATTCAAATTTAGAGAGTTTAATATTCAATTATTATCTAAAGTTTTAATTTTAACTGAAATTATTTTTTGAGTAAATATAAAATTATTGGTTAAATAAATTGAATTATTTGGGTAAATATAAAATTATTGGTTAAATTAATTTTAATTATTTGGGTAAATATAAAATTATTGGTTAAATGAAAAATGTCCAGTTAAATATAAATTATCTACTTAATTGTAAAATTATTAGTAAAATCACCCTTATAATTATTTGATTAAATATACAATTATTGATTCGAATAAAAAAAGTCTACGTGGTGCAAATAAATTTATTTACTCTCCGAGTAATAATTTCAAGAAGAGGAGAAATTTTTCCTCTCTCAATTTTTTTTATTTTGACTAATTTTGTTTTTTTTTGTCGTTTAAATTCTGTATAATAGTTTCTTATTCATTATATGTGTAGGAACAATGGCGTTAAGTAGTATTTTATTAGTGAAATAATTTTGCCTTTATTAGTGGCTTATTTTAAACATAAACGTTGCATTCCATTGGTTTTTAAAGTCACGTAGAGAGCTATGAAGTAATAATATATTCTTAAGCGCGTAAGTGTAAAAGAGTTTCCGCCATGACTGAGAAGCTAATAAGCCAACATTATGCTTTGATGTGCAATTTACTTTCGCGATTAAAAGCGCAATCCATGCAGGAGTTTCATGTCCACGATTTAGTCTATAGGCTATATGGCGAATTTCATTTCCTTTCATCCTCGCAATGCGTGGAAACTTTGCGGATGCACAAGGATTTCATATATTCGCATTTATATACAAAAAAAATAATTATGTCTGTTTGTACTTTTCCTTTTTTTCCTCCGAACTATTCGATAAGGAAAAAATAATTAACGAGAGTGAAAAGGGATTTTTTTTCGTAAGAAATGAAAAGAGAAATTAAATGAAAAGAAGAAGCTAAATGAAAAGCGAAAATAAAAAAGAAAAAGAAGGGAAAAGAGAAAATAAATTAAAAGAAGAAACTAAATGAAAAGCGAAAATAAAAAAAAGAAGCGAAAAGAGAAAATAAATGGAAAAAAGAAAGGCGAAAATAAAAAAAGAAGAAATTAATAGAGAAAATAGAGAAAGAAGAAAAGAGAAAATAAATGAAAAGAAGAAGCTAAATGAAAATCGAAAATAAAAAAAAGAAGCGAAAAGAAAAAATAAATTAAAAGAAGAAAGGCGAAAATAAAGAAAAGGAGCGAAAAGAGAAAATAAATTAAAAGCAGAAATTAATAGAGAAAATAGAGAAAATAGAGAAAGAAGAAAAGAGAAAATAAATGAAAAGAAGAAGCTAAATGAAAATCGAAAACAAAAAGAAGAAAGGAAAAAATGAAGAAGAAGAAATCAATTGAGAAAATAGAAAAAGAAGAAAAGGCAAAATAAATAAAAAGGAGAAAAGAAGAAATTAAGAATTAAAAGAAGAAGAAAAGGCAAGAAATAAAAATTGTGAGAAAAAAGAAATCGAAGAATTGAAGAAACTATGTGATTTGTCTTTGTGTCAGGGAAGATTAAAGAAAATAATAATTTGACGTCTGGCAGTTTAGTTGACAATTGAGTTTGTGTGTTACGTTTCGTTATAGTAAATTATCAGAGAGACGTGACTAGTTTGCCATATGAGTTGCCGGATGGCTTTAATAGGAAGATTTAAAAGATGCTTATACACCCAATTACGTCGTGCATTGCTCAGCTAGATCAAATATTATCTTGAATGATAATAAGCCGAATAGATATATTAATGTTCATCAGTGCAATCAAATTTCAAGATTTATTCTCATATACAAAGTAATTCGATTTCGTTTACATTCAATGCCTTATTTATTGAGTTAAATTATTACATCATTCAGTATTTTCAGTAGTACTTTAAATAATTCCATTATATAATAATGTCACGTGTTAAATAAAGGCAGTAATAATTTACCAAGTTTGGAAATTTTTAAATTAGGTCATAAATAATAAAATAAATAATAAAAATAATATTAAATAAAATAAATAATATTTTTTATTTATTTTCATAAATAATAAAACTCATCGCAGAATTTTCAATATTATTTTTAATAAAAATTTTAATGGAATTTCTCCAAAAGTGTAATTATTCTTAAAAATTTTATTAAAATTCATCGCAGAATTTCAATTATTTTGAAAAGCATTCCTTTTATTTATTAGAATTTAAGTATTATTGTCAATAAATTTTTAATTAAATTTCTTGAAAGAATTAAATTATTTTCAAAAAATTTTAATGGTATTTTTTTTAACAATTCAATTTTTTTTCGAAATAATTTTAATAAAATTCTTCGTAGAAATTTAATTAAATTCAATAATTTATCAAAATTCAATTATTTTCAATATCCTACTATTTCAATAAAATTTCACTATTATTGAATTCTTATAAAGTATTTATAAAAAAATTAAAATAATTGGATTCATTTCAAGAATTCATCAATTTTTTTTCAATAATTGAATTCTTTCGAAAAAATCCAATCAAAATTGTAAGTTGAAAATAATTTAATTTTTGTTAAAATTTTTATTCTAAATTCTTTTAAACAATTTTATTAGAGTTTTTGTAAATAATTACAGTTATTTTTAAAAGAATTTCATTAAATTTTGTAAAAAATAATTTAATTTTTTAAAGTAATTTTAATCGAAAATAAATTAAATTTTGAAAATAATTGAAATTTACAAAGAATTATATTAAAAACTTTTGAGAACAATTGAATTGTTTAGAAAAATTTTATTTAATTGAATATTCTACTAGAAATTTTATTAAAATTGTATTGAAAATAATTGAATTTCTCTCAAACATTTTGTTTATGAAAATATTTAAACTCTTGAGAAAAATTTTATAATTTTAAATTTATAAAAAGAATTAAATTGTTTCGAAGAATTTTTTTATCAGAATATTATTGAAAATAATTTAATTTAAATAGTATTTTTAAAAATAATTGTATTCTTTCGAGAAATTTTTTTTTTTAAATTGTATTGAAAATAATTTAATTCCTCCGAAACGTTTTGTTATTTATGAAAATAATTGAATTCCTTTGTAGAATTTTATTATTTATAAAAATATTTTAATTATTACGAAGAATTTTCTTATTTATTGAAATAATTAAATTCTTGTAAATTAAATCGAATTTAATTAAAATTTTTAAAAAGAATAAAATTGTATTCTTTTCAGAAATTTTATTAAAATTGTAGTGAAAATAATTGAATTGCATAAATTTAATTAATGAGAAAAATCTCGACTCCTTTTCTTTTCAATTTTCGAGACCAATTTGTTTTTGTTTTTGAAATACATAAATAGTGTTAATCGTACACTTTGTATGCGAAGAGAGTGCGTTTTGTAATACATATAGTCGAGCTATAAAACCAATATAACAAATTACAATAATATCCTTGAATAAAATGCGTATAACCCAAACATTGCGGGTCGAAAGTATATTTAAAGAACGCATATGTAATTTCTCAACGAGAATATGCTTTCCTCGAGTACTCATTTTTCAAGAGGGTCTCGGATTATTATGGAGTAGCAGCTTTGATATTAATAGGTGGGTCGACATTATTAAACAGTCTGAATAAATAACATTTTGCTGACCCCTACAAAATACCGAGCGATTAATCGCATATATGAGAGTAAAATGCTTTATCAAACAAAAATAAATCCTTTTGAAAATAATGAATTCACTCAAGTGCGAGTACATATTGTCAGGAAATGTATGTACACTTGAAATTTATATATCGAAGGAGAAATTATGCACTTTGTAATTAAAAATAATAAGAAAAAAAAATATCAGATGCACAATTGTGCATCTGATATTTTTTCTCTTATTATTTATTAGGAAAATAATAATTTAAAAAAATGGTAGAATTTTTTTTCTAATTTATAAAAAAATGGTAGAGAATTAAAATGAAATTAAAAATAATACAAGAATTAGTAAAAAAAAAAAGGAAAATAGTACAAATATTAAACAGAAAATAGTACAAGAGTAATTAAAAAAATACAAGAATATTATTTAAAAAAAAAATAAAAATACTACAGAAATGAATAAAAAATGGAAATAATTGCTAATTATTTAATAAAGTTATTTAATCCTGCGGCAAATGACTTTAATAGTTTGCCTTTTAACAAAGATAGTCACAGTTTCATAAAGTATTTTAAATGGATATATAAACAGTAGTAAAGACTCTACTAAACGCGTTTGAGAATTGATCGTTTAATACATACTCGAGACTTACGGTAGACATTTATCGGAGTCTTTTGACCCTTTCCGTTAAGTTTAGAACCTAACGAAAGTAATCGTTTCCAGTTTGTGTAAACTTTACTAATTTCGTATACATATATATATACTCGAATTGAGGAAATTGTATTTCTAAAAGTTTATTCGTTACAAGAATATAAAAAGATGTGAATTACTTTTCCGGAAGAGCGTATAGCTAGCCATGCAAATTTAATTATAGAATCCCGTCTTAATTGGAATAAATTTTAATGATAATGAGTTTGTAATTAATAATATAGACGAATAAATATTTATTTTCATGGAAAAAAGTATATTCAAATTTTAATATTAAATTAAAATGTAATATTGGATTGTAATATTTGATAATAATATTCATATAATATATTCAATATAATAATATTCATATAATAATATTAATTATCATAATTTAATAATTATTTTATTATAATTTATTGTCTCAATTTGATGTCCTTAGAAAAAATAGTGCTAATTATGATTATTTTAATAATGATAATTTTAATTATTAATAAAATTAATAAATATTAAATTAATAGAATATAAAAATAATTAAGACATTATTTTATACTTGAAATTAATGAAAATTTGTAATATTCTGATTACAGCCCCAAAATTTGGTATTGACTGGAGAATTTCCGGACTGTGACGTGAAACTCTGCGATTTTGGAATTTCACGATACATCAGCCACGGTGCAGACATTCGTGAAATTTTAGGCACACCCGATTATGTTGGTGAGTAAATTTTCTTTGAAATTAATTTCTAATCATGCAAGTCAATCTTAGTTTGCAGTAAAAAAATTATCATTTTCCAATTAGTTTATAAACTATATTATTTTTAGTTAAAATTGTTAAAAATTAATTAAATTCATTATTATAAATTATTATTTATTTATTTATTTATTTATTTATTAATACTTTTGTATTAATTGTATTTTGTATTTTTTTGCCTTCTTTTATTTACCGAATAACTGAATAAATAATTCAGTAATCTGAACGAAAGGACAATTTAGTCCGTTTTTAAATAAATAATTAATTATAATTAAAAAAAAATTGTTTAATCGACATTATAATTTCTTTGACAAAAATTGATTAATTATAATAAAATAAAAGTTCATTCTCCATTCGATTTTAATTATCAGAAAAGAAGTATAAATCAAAGGATGATTATTCACGTTTTTTTTCCTCTAATGTGACACGTTTTTTTTTTTTGTTCTGAAAATGCAAAGTCGATTGAACAACATTTCAATAGCTCAATCACTTGAACCTTGCTTCTAGGGCTTCTCAATGTCACTTTAGTAAAATCACAGTTCGATCAATAAAACAATGTAATTCCATTAAAAAAATACTCTGTTACATAATAAAAACTCTCGCAGAGCTAATATTACAATTCTTCTGACAACTTTTCCTTTCATTAACACGTTTTGTTAGAATTATCATTTTATTCCTTTCAATTATAATTTTTAAATTTATTCGAATAAACATTTAAGAAATAATTAAGGAATTATTATTTTTTCCCTAAAAATAATATTATTTTTTGCATCGAGTAAACAATATTAATTTTTAGTAAATAATATTAATTTTATTATCGACTAAACAATATTAATTTTTTTATTTAGTAAACAATATTTATTTTGTTACCGACTAAACAATATTAATTTTTTTTATTTAGTAAACAATAGAAATTTTCTTATTTTTCAATTATAATTTTTAAATTTATTCGAATAAACATTTAAGAAATAATTAAACGAATTATTATTTTTTCACTAGAAATAATATTAATTTTGTTATGGACTAAACAATATTAATTTTTTTATTTAGTAAACAATAGAAATTTTCTTATTTAATAAACAATATTAATTTTTTTATTTAGTAAAAAATAGAAATTTTTGTTACCGACTAAACAATATTAATTTTTTTAATTAGTAAAAAATAGAAATTTTTGTATTTAGTAAACAATATTTATTTTGTTACCAACTAAACAATATTAATATTTTTATTTAGTAAAAAATAGAAATTTTCGAATTTAGTAAACAATATTTATTTTGTTATTGACTAAACAATATTAATTTTTTTATTTAATTAAATATTAGTTTAGTTTTATTTAGTTTAATTTTTTTATTTTAAATTTCTATTTCTAAAAATAGATATTTTCGTATTTAGTAAACAATATTAATTTTTTTTATTTAGTAAACAATAGAAATTTTTGTATTCAGTGAACAATATTAATTTTTTTATTTAGTAAAAAATAGAGATTTTTGTATTTAGTAAACAATATTTATTTTGTTACCGACTAAACAGTTTTAACTGTTTTATTTAGTAAAAAATATAAATTTTTGTATTTAGTAAACAATAATAATAATAGAACATTAATTTTTCGTATTAATTTTTGGATTTAATAAACAATATTATTATTTATACAAATTTTTCTATTAAGTAAACAATATTAATTTTTGTGCCCAGTAAATAATATGAAAGTCTATTTTTATCAAACAACATTAATTCTATTATCGACTAAGACTAAACAATATTAATTTTTGTATGCAGCAAGTAAAATATAAGGAATATTAATTGTTTTATTGATTGAACAATATTAATTTCTCCATAAAAAAAAAAAAAAAAAAACAATGAAATATCCTCCATCATGTAAATAAATATACAAGAATGTAAGATAATATTTTCCTCCACATATTTGCATAATTAATTTTCTTTTTAGCCCCGGAAGTTCTCAACTACGAGCCAATAAGTCTGGCCACCGATATGTGGTCAGTTGGCGTTTTGTTGTACGTTCTACTAACAGGTTGTTCGCCATTCGGAGGAGATACCAAACAGGAAACATTCTGTAATATTAGTCGATGTCGACTGGACTTTCCCGACGATCTTTTCGAGGATGTTTCCAAGGAGGCTCAAGATCTCATGCGGAAACTAATGGTCAAGGATCCAAGGTAAATAGAAAAATATCCAAGAAATAAGAAGTCCTTATTTCTTCACCTTTATTCAAAATACACATCTTTGCCTCGAAAAAAAATACACATCTTTACCTCAAAAAAAAAAAAAAAATAGACATCTTTACCTAAAAAAAAATACACATCTTTACCTCAAAAAATAAAAAAATTCACATCTTCGCCTCGAAAAAAATACAAAGCTCTACAAAACTTATTTATTCCCCACTGGCTTATTAAATCCATACAAATTTATTCCAATGACTCTATTTAAAAAATTCTATTCAATCACCAAAATTCCCTTCTTATATATTCGAAGGCGAAATAACTGAATTATTTGCCAAAAAAAAGCCTAAATACACAAGTTCGACATTTAATCGCAGCGAAAATAAATTAATCTCAAGATCACCATCAATATTTTCTCAGAGCGTTCTGTTTGACCAAAACTCGAGGATTTTCGAGAATTGACGAATTCCTGAATATGAATTTCAATTGAGCTTCGATTTGCATTAAAATTCGATTTAAATTAATGTTCGATTTGAATTAAAATTGGATTTCAATTAAATATCGATTGGAATTAAAATTCGCCTTGAATGCAATTCGATTTAAATTAAAATCCGATTTTAATTCAAACACGATTTAAATTAAAATCCGATTTGAATTACAATACAATTTGAATTAAATAGTATGATTTGAATTAAAATTAAAATTTGACTCGAATTTGAGAAAAAAAATTAATATCGAGAAAGAAAAATGTTATATTCAGAAATAAACTACTTTCAGTGACCCGGAAGATGAAATATCTTCTATAAAAGCTTTTCACTCGAGATTCGTTTACCTCGAGAGACAAATGCCATTGTAATCCTGAACATTCACCTTTGATCCAAAGATTTCTCACGCAAGGCCACAGCCCAGTTCTCAAGAGTCTGTCGAGAGTTAGATTCTTGAACGTGTATAGAAGAGAATTTTTTTCCATCAACTATAAATATTTGTTTAAAAAAGAAGAAGAAAGAAAGAAAATGATGATGATGATGATGATGATCCTGAAGCGAATCATTGACCTATAGTGCAAAAAGGTCACATTGTAGTGGCATAGAAACGTAAATAATCGACAAATCAGTAACCTCGCATTAGTAATGCTGAAGGTAACAGGATAAATATACACGCAATCTAAACAATACTCAACACACTCTATAGGTGATTGTGTATTTACTTGCCACTCAATTCCTCTCAAATGAGATCTTCTTTTTATTGTAAATTTAAAAGAAGTAGAAAAAGAAGAAAGGTCACGAAACAAGGAAGTTGATACTCAGGGTTTCATTACAATTTACATTTTGTCAATTTGCGAAATTCTGTGTTTGCGAAAATTAACAAGAAGGGGTTCATGACTCAAGTTAATTTATTAGCTTTCGCAGATGTTAACGAAATGTTTGAATTACGTTGTTTTTTTTGTAATCATCCGGAATGACGAATAAATGAATTTTCTTGAATTTACGGACTCACTTGGGAAGACCCGGATTTTGCCTTGAACTCAATGAACAAGTTGCGAAATATTTCATTTGTATTCACACACAAAGGCGATTCTAATTTTAACTAAAATTCGTTTTACCAATGTTGCTAATTCAAAATTTCAATTATTTTCATAAATAATAAAATTCTTCTCCGAAATTCAATTAATTTAAAAAAAATTTTAATAAAATTCTTGTCAAAATTTCAATTATCGTTATAAATATATTAGATTTATTTAATTTCAAAAGTAATAAAATTTTACGCAGAAATTCAATTATTTAGAAAATTTTTTTTAAATTCTCCTAACAATTTTAATTATTTTTATAAATATCAAAATTCAATTACTTTTAAACATTTTTTAAAAAAAATCTGTTCAAAATTTCAATTATTTTTATAAATAATAAAATTCTTCTCTGAAATTCAATTAATTGCAAAAAATTTTAATAAAATTATATTAAGTTAATGTACGACCGACCGACCGACCGACCGACCGACTCACACCTCTTTCTATTCTGTCTAACTATCTTTGAAAATACTTCACTCACACATATCCAAAAAACACATACCCATGAATGTTACACATATACACAAAACACATACATGTCATGTCACGCATGCGCAGTAGTATTTCATGAATGTCACGCATGCGCAGTAGTGTTCTATCAATGTCACGCATGCGCAGTAGGGTTCTATCAATATTACGCATGCGCAGTAATGTTCTATCAATGTTACACATGCGCAGTAGTGTTATATCAATGTCACGTATGCGCAGTAGTTTTCTATCAATGTCACGCATGCGCAGTAGTGTTCTATCAATGTCAGGCATGCGAAGTAGTGTTCTATCAATGTTACGCATGCGCAGTAGTGTTCTATGAATATCAGGCATGCGCAGTAGTTTTCTATCAATGTCACGCATGCGCAATAGTGTTCTATCAATGTCAGGCCTGCGCAGTAGTGTTCTATGAATATCAGGCATGCGCAGTAGTGTTCTATGAATATCAGGCATGCGCAGTAGTGTTCTATCAATGTCAGGAATGCGCAGCAGTGTTCTATGAATATCAGGCATGTGCAGTAGTGTTCTATGAATATCAAGCATGCGCGCAATTCACCCACACATGTATACTCAACATATACACTAATCACATGTACATGTATACTCACACATGTACATAAATTATATACACATGTATACTGACTCATGTGCAGATATAAACTGCTACATATACACAAATCACATATATAGATTTAATAAACGATTGATAATATAAATTGCTGAATTTTTTAAGATTCGTTGATGCACGTAGTGTCTGTTGAAATTTTTTTAAATATACGTAAGTACCTCACTCGCTAATGCTGCGCTGTCTGTGTTGTAAGGGAAATTATTTATTTACTTGTGTATTTACTTATTCCCAAGTGCGAAATTAAAAACAGCCCAAAACTGGCCCAGTGACGGCATAGTCAGTGCCTACTCTTGGCAGACAATAGTGGCCCGACTGTCGGGAGGTTAACCGCGGTAGGCCGTCGGCAGCCAATCATCGGCCGATTCTCGGTAAACATTAATGGCCCATTATTGGCTGCCATTACTCCCCAGTGTTGAAAAAATTTAAAAAAAATATATTTTTTATTTAACTAACTAATTAATTCATAATATTTATACAGTTTATTTCCCTGAATTAATCGCAAACTTACAAATATTTGAAAAATTCTTACCGCTCGCGGGGATCGATACCTGAACCTGACGCACCAAAGCCTAACACTCTGACCACTCTGCTACTCTGACGTGAAGTCGAGGAAGCAAAAGGGTTCTTATAAGCTATACTACACTGGCCGATACTGTGCCATTATTGGGCCGAGCTACGTCCCAATATTGGCAATTATAATTTACCATCATAGATACAAAATGATAGACATTAATATGGCATTCCTGAGCCAAGGTACGTCCCAATTCTGGCAATTATAATTTGCCACAAAATGTTTTCCATTAAAGTGCCACTAATGTGCCATTAATAGGCCGATCTTCGTCACATCACTGGCAATTGAATATTGCCATTAAAGATTGATCAACTTTGCCATGAATGTGCCATTATTGAGCCAAGCTACGCCCCAATACTGGTAATCATAATTTGCCATCAAAGATACAAAATTTTTGCCATTAAAGTGCCATTAATGGGCCGATGGTCGGCACATCACTGGCAATTGCTTTTTGCCATTAAAGATTGATCAACTTTGCCATGAATGTGCCACTATTAGGCCGAGAGCTGGCCCAGTCTTAAAAAATTTGAAAATCTGACCATCGGCGCCATCATTGGCCCATCAATGGGACGTTTTGAACACCAGTAATGGCCCAGTAACTACTGCCAATTCTCGGCAGACATTACTAGACCAATTATGGGCCGTTTTTGCAGTCTTGGCATTTCGCACTTGGGTTTGTTTGTTTGACAGAAATCAACAATAACTTTTTAAATGGATTATCAGTGAAAAATGACTTATATTTCTGTAAGTGTAATTTTCAACTGACTTTTAGTAAAATTATTTGTTTGACAGAAATTTACAATAATAAATAAATCACAATACAATAACAATCAGTGAAGAATGACTGATATTTTAGTACTTTTCAACTGATTTTCAGTAAAATTCCACTGATTATGAATCCAAAGTCACTTTTTAAAAATACAAAATGGCGAATCCAGGATAGCGGACGAAAATGAAAGATTTAGTAAGAGAATACGTAAAAATAACATTTCGTATAATGTACAATGACAATTTTTTAAAATGTCACTTCATAATAATTTTTGTCTTATTACACAATGATTTTAAGTAAAATAATTTATATTTTTATAAATATTAATAATTTTTTACATTTTCTAACCACTATAAGGTTTTAATTTTGTAAATGTTCAAGCTCTAGTTTAGAAAGAAAAATTTATATTATTATATAACAATATTGTCTAGACTTGCAAAAACCCAAAGTCTAGACAAATTTGTCGTAACAATATTGTTACAATATATATTGTAACAATATTGGTGACGGTGACGTGCGTAAGAATAATGCAGTAAAAATTTCAAAAAAACATTTCTCAAAAAAATTAATAAAATAGCATTTTTATATAGTTTACGAGATAAAAATTCCTGAAAAAAAAGTGTTGAAATTATTTGATTGAAGAGCGTTCACAAATGATGTCACGCAATTTTTCGGGATTTTATAACCCCCCCCCCTCCCCCTGTCAAACAAATTTCATGCAATTTCACATGTAAAAATACATTGTGTCACGTTTAGTAGAGACCCTCCACCCTCCCCCAAAAAACGTGACATCATTTATGAACGCACCCTTGCAAATATCTTGCAAAATATTAAAAATTTTGTAAAACTTTTTGGCACACTTATTTAGGACCCTAAACACTATCAAATTACAAAGTACCCAAGTATCACGGAATATAACCTTAAATTTAAGGAAATATTGCATTTCATATTCGGAATATTCCAGTGGAACGTT